AATTTGCAAAAACAATTTCAACTTTATACCCCTTCAACCAATTAATCTATTACACTTTAAAGAAATTAAACTAAGTAATCTATTACACTTTTAAAGAAATTAAACTAACTAATCAATAAGCTTGCAAAAGTAAACTTTTAAAGCAAATAATAAATTCAATTTTAAATTAAATAAGTAATTAAATCAATTAAGCAATTGAAGTAATTAAAATACTCCGTAGATTTTAATTTTAGAAGAACTTACGAAAGTCAAAGAGTCCAAAAGCTGAAACGAGAGGAGTCGATACGAAGCCCGCCAGAGACTGACGGAGAGTTGGGAACTTGGGCCGCAGCCACGCAGGGAGGAGCCGCTGGAGACTGGCGAGGCGGGACTAGAAACAGGACGGCGCTGTTCGGAAGAGAGCAACTGCAAGTCTTGAACTCCTGGAGGCGACGGACGGACTAAGAGGCGGAAGAGGCGAAGAGCAAAATAGGAGGCGGAAGGTCAAAGGCTAACATCAGACTCTTATTAAAAACGGCGACGTTTTCACATTTATGTGCACTTAACAAAACTACGTCGTTTCGCTCTTTAGACTTAATTAAAAAGAAAACATGTGCCTTTCTTCTCTCTTGTTCGCATTTCTCGGCCGGCCATGGCAGCAACGAGGTTTCAACGAAGAAGATGAGTGGGGCGGCAATGGATATACCTAATACTACTACTGAAAAAACTCCGACCAAGGGGTGGCGCCAGCACCAGCTCGCTCCCCTTGGTTCCGCCCCTGGACACAGAGATTAAGAAAGTGGAATAAAGTGAAAATATATGGTTCAATGGTTGTGATTGTGTAAGAAAAAGGTTAAATAAATGTGAACCACACAAATTGTCCAAAAATGGTAAGTGGGAAGAATTTTTTGGGACAGGCCAAAAAAGAAAGTGGGAAAAATTTTATGTGACGGAGGAGTAATAATTCAGAGTAGAAATACAAATATATCCCTGAACTTTTAAAATGTGCAAATATACTCCTCATTTTCATATAAAGAAACAAATTTATCTTTATTGACTCCAAATAAATAAAAATTAATTTTAAAACACTACAAATAAATTATAAGATATAAATTGAAAAATAAGAAAAATAAAGAGTTCAAAATAAAGATTTATTTTTATGTTAAAATATTAATTCGGTAGTTTTAAATTGCAAAATCTTTATTTTTCCATTGTAAATGAAGCACTTGAAATTCATAAATATTAATTTTAGTCCTGTTGCGAAATTTTTCAAACATTGTTACATTTTTTGAAATAACATTCTTTAATTTTGTTTAGCCTTAATAAAAAAATCATTATTTTGTAATCTTGTACTATTTATCATCATACAAAATACTATCCTCCGTCTCTTTTTAATCGCAACATGTTGAATTTTACACTATTCACATGTCCTACTTTGACTACATTTTATATTATTATTTTATGAAAATTATTTTTTTTAAATTATATTGTTCAATTCATCTCATTACAAATTTTCAAAATCTAATTTTTAATTATTTTTTACTAATAGGGATTAAGATATAATTACGGTCAAAGATGTGCGTTGGCAAGTGTGAAATGTTGACCGTTGCAACTAAAAAAGAACGGAGGAAGTATATAATTTTATAATTACATATTTTGAGAGAAGCTCTCTTCACATGTTGAATGCCATGTTGTGAACAATAAAATTCTCGAACTCATGTGAAGTATACTCAACACCATTGCCAGAATGAAGACACTTTAATTTTCTTTCCGTCTTTCTTTCCACCATAGCATGAAATTTCTGAAATGTCTCGAACACTTTGCTTTTGTTCTTCAACATGTAAACCCAAGTTTTTCTCATAGTATGACCAATGAAAGTGATAAAGTATTCACTATCACCATTACAATACTCTACCTCAATGGGACCACAAACCTAGGGGTGCACAAGCTCTAGTTTAGTTTGCCTATAGGTACACTTCCTGGTAAAAGAAGCTCTATGCTTCTTTCCTGCCAAACAATGATCACAAGTGTCAAGAGCAAATGTAACATCAACGTGAATAAGAGATTTACCTGCAAGCCATTTTAAACCCTTGCCACACATGTGTCCCGATCTGCGGTGCCACAAATTAGGAGAATTGATCTTCTTTTCCATTGCATTAAGTTCACTGGAACATACACTCAAATATGTCTTGTACAAAGAGCAACACAACTCGCCGCATGCAACTGTCATAGAACTCTTAGACATTTTCCATTTTCTATCTCCAAGGGTGTGTCTGAAACCTTCTTGATCAAGAACATTAGCAGATAGCAAATTAAGGCTTAGATCAGGAATACGACGCAAACCTTTCAGTGTAAATATGCATCAAATAATAGTCTTCACACGAATATCACCAAATCCAAAAATGGTTGCTGAGCTTTGGTTACCCATCTTAACATTACCAAAATCACCAAATTGGTAGTTCTTGAAGTACTCTCTTTTTGGAACACAATGACATGAAACAATTATATCTACAAGCCACTTTGAGTCTGAACTATCAACATGATGAAATTCACGAGTTGCACAAAACCAAATCAACATCATCATCACTTTTGTCAGATCCTTCTTTTTGTAAATCATTCTTAGTCCTTCGTTCCATTTTCAAACGAAAACAATACTTCTTGATATGACCAAACTTCTTGCAATAATGGCATATAGTGATATTTTGTCCTTCCCTAGATTTGTCCCCGCTTCTTGAGTTATTGTAACATTTGAGACCCATATTCTTACTCCTTCCTCTGTTCTCAACAAGAGCATGTGTATTATCAACTACCATCTCCTTTCTTCTGATTTTCTCATTAAACATACTTTTTTAATGACATCTAATGATAGCACACCACCCGAATCAGACTCACTAACAGTCACAACCAAGGTTTCCCAACTGTCTGGCAAAGAATTCAAGAGAAATAAAGCTTGCAACACATCACCAAGACAGGTAATCGACTTGTTAATAATATCTTGGAAGTCACTAAGATGCTCAGAAACAGACTTTCCGATTTTCAATTCCAAATTCACAAATTTCTTAAACAAAGAAGCTTTATTATGAGCAGTCATCCCTTCATAAAGACCTTTCAATTTATTCCATAAATCATATGGATCATACTCTTGCGTCACATGGTTGAAAATGCCAATATCAACCCATTGTCTAATAGCTTCTAAAGCCTTTGTTTTCAACTTTAGCCATTCTTTCTCTTCCATTTTCTCTGATTTGGATGGTTTAGAAAAAGTACACCATCAGAATTGGTGACAGATTCAAATAGGTCATAGAAGCCCTTACAATATAATATGCCTTCACTCAGGCCCGGTCCTGACATTTTGAAGACCTGGGACATATTACAAAAACGGACACTTGAAATTATGAAAGTGAAAAACGAATTTTATTATAAAAGCAAAGCTCGTTACATAAAGCATGATATGTAATAGTTCATACAAAAAATCACAAAAAAAAAAAACAATTTCGTCAAACATTCGTAGATGCAAAATCATCTATGATAGAGTCAATGTCAATATTATCTAACATCTCCTTCTCAATACATAAAAGTGCCGAGCCGTCACATATGTCTTCAATAATTTTAGTTTTAAAAAGATCCTCTCTGCCGATGCTATAGTCACCATAAAAGCGAACATTATTTTTGTTTGATGGAGTTTATTTTTAGTTTTCTTTTGTTTTCAAATTACAATGTTTTTTTAATCAACAAAAGCATTTAAGCAAAAACCAATCAAAATTTCAACCAGACAAATCATGATTTCAAATTATAAAAAATGGAACCGAATCAAACTTTTTTAACTTTGATGATTCGACATTTAGAATAGGTCCTCGAACTTTCATAAAAAAGTCAATTAAGTCCTTCTATAGGAGACTCTGTCCGATCGTCGCGATTTGGGGCTGTTCCCGGTGGAATTTTTTGATGATTTTTTTTGAGCATCTTATTCATCAAGTCTAGTTTACTCATACCAAATTTCAGCTAAAAATTTAATCGGGAGCGCATTCAAATTAATTCGAGAACGCAAAAATGCGCAGTTATCTTCAACAATTAATTTGAATATGTTCCCAATTGAATTTTTAGCTGAAATTTGGTATGAGTAAACTAGACTTGGTGAATGAGATGCTCAAAAAAATTCATCAAAAAGTTCCACCGGGAACTGCCCCAAATCACGACGGCTGGACAGAACCTCCTATAAAAGGACTTAATTGACCTTTTTATGAAAGTTGGAGAACTTATTTGACAGTTTTCCCTTTAGATTTAGTTTGGATCAAAACAAATCGTTTGAATGGAACATAGTCCTTCTTAGAGCATCTCCAATGTGGAGGTGGATTGCTCTTAGAAAGCATTCCACATAAGCCAATAGACATTCTGTTTCAAAATCTAGTTTCCAATGCAAAAAAATATGGACTTAGTGAAGCTGACTTGGCAATGAAAAAATGGACAGAGGTCTCGCACGAGGTCTGTATTCAGACCCTCGGTCTCACCCTGTTGGTGGGGTCTCTTGCTTATTTCAGCTCTGCTTGTACGAAGGTGGAGGAGTTTTATTTGTTTGCATTGGAGACCCGTTTGTTTAGACCCTCTCATTTGTTAAATAATTGGCCCACATGTAAAGTAGACCTTTTCCATTTTATTGCCACATCAGCAACAATCCATGCCTAGCATTGGAGTTGCTCTTAGGATATACTCCCTCTGTCCCTGAAAATTGTTCCCTGTTTCCTTTTTGGGCCGTCCCAAAAAATTGTTCCCCTTTCTTCTTTTGGAAAGTTTTTTGTGGCTACAATTCATTTACCTTTTTCATATTCAACCACAACCATACATTTCCACTTTATTCCCACTTTCTTAAACTCCGTTCCAAGTCAATGCGGGAACAATTTTCCGGGACGGAGGGAGTAATAATTTGCGCTACAATACCCATATCTTAAAAAGTGGGTCCCAATGCTTCAAATTTTTGTGTTCCTCCGACATGTCATCCCCAAACCTAGCTAGATTTTCATAAGTGAAGCTGTGCGACTCATTATAAGAGATCACTCCATCAATTTTGCCACTCCGAAAAATACAGAGAACCTCAACCACCGGTGTCGGCGGTGATACCACATTTGCCGGTTGAGGAAGCTAAGTTTGTGGGCGGAGTGTCGGTTGACTTAGTTCAAATCTCGAACTTGGGTCTTGAAATCTTCTTGCAAAGATGTCTGCCAAGCAGAACGGCACCATCGCTGCAAACGGTACTACCCCGACGGCGGCGAGGGCCGCTGCCCCACTCAAACAAACACCCCGTCCTTACGTCCCCCAGAGGATTCACGACGTCCGACATAACCGGCGGCGGTGCAGCTGCCGCAGGTGTTTCTGCTATGGCTGCTTCTGGGCAGTCCTCATCATCTGCGTCCTCCTACTCCTAGTTGCCATCGCCGGAGCCGCGTTCTACGTCCTCTTCCGTCCGCAGCGCCCGGAGTTCTCCGTCTCCTCCCTCAAGATCTCGCAATTCAACCTGACTACCGCCTCCGACGACACGACGCGCCTCACCGCCAAGCTGAACCTCACAATCTCCGCCCGAAATCCCAACAAGAAAATGGTCTACAGCTACGACCGGATCTCCCTGAGGGCGATCGCGAGCGGGATCGCCATCGGGAACGGGTCGTTCCCGGGATTCACCAGCAACCCGAGTAACATCAGCGTGATCCACTCGACGCTGTCGTCGATGTCGCAGGCGGTGCTGGATTCAGAGTCAGTGTCGGAATTGAAGTCAGATCTGAAGAAGAAGAAGGGGGGAATGGCGATCAAGATCTTGATGGACACGATGGTGGTGGTGAAGCAGGACAAACTGAAGAGCAGGAGAGTGGGGATCAGGGTGACATGCGAAGGAATCCGCAGCCAAACCCCCAAAGGCGGCGGGAAGAAGAAGACTCCGGCCGTCGCTACAACCTCTGATGCCAGCTGTAAGGTTGATCTCAGAATCAAGATCTGGAAATGGACTTTCTAATTTTAGAATTTTTTTCTCAATTTGCTTTTTTATTTTTTATTTTGGAAAAAAATCAAAAAAAATTGCCTTTTTTATTTACTCCGTAATTAATTAATTACATACGCTTTTTTCTTTCTTTCTTTCGGAAATTGGCTGGAGAAGAGAACCGGATTTAGAAATCTGGGGGCTGGGAGTTTTTACTTTTTTTTTTGTTATCAACAATGTGTGGTACAACTCATTTTTCCTCCCGTTGGGGAAATTACTTTCAAATACGCGGCATGTAATTTTATCATCATTAATTAATTGATTAATAGATTAGATTGCATTCTGAAGATTTAATTGAGTGATGTTCACGCGGTTAGTGACTCTCTTTTCTAGCTTAATATTTCTTTAAACGATTATTTTTTGAATGGCAAACAAACACATTTATTCATCAGTAATCATCACTAATATTACCTAGCGACTTTCGAAGCCTTTTATGTCTAGCGAGTTTCGAACTCGAGACCTCCCACTAAGCACAGTAACTTCACAATCAACTAGGCTGGAACCGCTGGAATGCTTGGTTCTGTTTTCATTTATTACATAATACTATGTAATAATAATAATAATAATAATAAAGTACCTCTATAATTACATCTTAAAAGAGTGTTAGGAGCAACTAACTGAGTGTACAAAGTAGTGCTTACTGCTAGCTTGGTTTGTTCATATCTGAGCAATTTTTGTGTACGGTAGTTATGGTCTCAATGAGCAGTTATTAAAAGATGGAGAGAATTGTAATTGATCTTTCTACACAGTACACACAATACAGGTATTAATTAACAATGACAATTGTTCATCCATCTGAGCCAAACTGTCTTTTAGTATAAAAAAAAGGTTGCACTTTGGGCATTGGATTGTATTTGCCTCACGAAGATGGTCGTATTAGGGAGCACTGTTTTCCACTTTTCCACGTATGGTATTTGTTATCATCCGTTCTTAATTTGTTTATTCAGGGGTTTATTGAGATGGCACACTATAGGAGTATAGGGCGTCTCATGATTTCACCAAACTTTTTTAATTAAAGCCTTTCCTTTGAAAAAATGACACAAATATTACCTCTCAAGTTTCATTGGACAAAAATATGACCAAAATTCAATTTGATAAAAAAAGTCACCTAAGTAAACCTTTCTGTATTCCCTTGCGCTGAAGGAATTCACGCTCATAGACAGAGCAACTCCCTAGGAGCAGAACACCATCAGTGATCATCTCTTCAGGCCATCGCCAGCTTTCAACATGTCTCCAAGCCATCACCCTACACGGTCAGAGCCGTCTCCTCCCTACTTCATCGATCAATTTCTCCTCCGTGCTGCATCTCAATCAATCTCTCCTCTCTGCTCCGATCGATCTTCTCCCGTCCGTCCTTGTGCGTAACACCCGTACAAAATCATCTCTCTGCCTCCGTCGTCCAGGTGCAACATCAACGAGGTTCGATGTGTTCTTCACCGATTTTGGATCTAGGCTTTTTCTTCGCCGATTGGAGTTATTTCCTTATGCGTCTGGGCGACGGTTTTGAGGCTAGATTTCTCCACTGTTAGCGGCAGTGCGTTAAAAATTGGGTCGTGGTAGTTAGGGTTGGGGACCTGTAGCCAGTGGGGGTGAGTTGGACAACGGCTGGAAGGGGTCTTGGGAGGATGAGGAGGGGTCTGGAGGCTAGGGCAGTGGGGGTGGGGTGGGGAAGTGGCGGTGGCCTGGGGCTGAGATAGGGCTGGGAAGGCGGCTAAACACGGGGCTGGGTGGTGGCCGGCGTTGGAGGTGGCCGGCGGTGGCGGCGGCCGCTGCTGTCAGCAGTGCAGTGGTGGCCGGCGGACGATTTTGTCGGAAATGTAACCGGAAATTTTTTTGACGTTTGATGGTGACATTTTTCATGGTGACAGTGAGCCAGTGACATTCAAAGTTGACATAAAAAACTGATAGTGACATATGATAATGACATAAAAATCTGATAGTTACATAAAAATTTCGCAATGACATCAAGTTATTCCAAATATATGAACCTTTTAATCACTTTTTTGTCCTTTTCAAATAGTGGTCACATTTTTGAAAATTGACTTTAATTTAGTACTACTGAAGAAAAAAGCCCCTTTCCTTTTGTAATATCTTGATTAGGACGAGACTTGAATCCATGATTTCCTCTTTGAGATATCAGTAGTGATGTCATCATATCAGAAGGTATCCAAACCTTTTATTATTATACATCAATTTTTGGCCAATATTTTTGTGTAAATAATTAACCCATTCGTTCTGATAATATTGTCTCTTTTACCTTTTCGGAAAATCCAACTAAAACTGTTTAATACCAAATTTGTTAAACCATGTTTACTTTATTCTTACTTTATCAATTCAATAGAGAGACAGAGCCGGCTTTGGTGGGAGTTGCCCAAGGCAATTGCCGAGGGCCTCCACTTTTAAGGGGCCTCATCTTATAATTTCTTTTGTAAAAATAACATCTAATTAAATAACATAATTAAATAATTAATTAATTAAATAAATAAATAAATAAATACTAATGAAATTAATAATGACATAAATGAACATTAATATATACTACCTTTGAATCACTTGAGTTTGTTAACTCTTTAAACTAAGTGATTCGCCATGCTTACCTTTTGAAATAATTACATATTTATGATTACAATGAAAATTATTTACAAAAATGTGACTAGTGATTATAGTACTAACTTAATCATAGTAACTTATGTTAAATTTTTAAACGTAAGTGACCACACACTATAGTGTAGTAACTATTAATCATATTTGTGTAAATAAATTTTAAAATAGTACGTAATAATATTTGCGAAAAAACTCTAAATTTTTAGAGGCACGTGAAAGGTCTAAATTTAAGTCTAAATATTATAAAATTTGTTCTTAACTCATGCTACATTGTTATAAAAATTGTCTTTATGTTTTCATTAATTAATAAGAAAGTGATTACAATGTACTAAAGTTATTATAATTGATTATAAAAAGTTCTTCATTTCTAAATATGGTATTTTTAGGGGGAAACACGTTTTTAGTCCCTGAAATAGTTACCATATTGAAATTTCAGACTCCTATTTCCGAGTTTATAAATGTCACCCCTCAATTGTCCAGATTGGTTTAAATGTGATCCTTTGAGCGTTGAAATGTACAAAGTGGGCAAGGAGTACATTTCACCCCTCAAAGGACCACATTTACAGCAATTTCGACAATTTAGGGGTGGCATTTACAATCTCGGAAATACGGATCTGACATTTCATTATGGTGACTATTTCAGTGACTAAAATTGCAATTTTCTCTTTTTTTTTTAAAAAAAAATAATTGAATCTTTCTCAGAACTTCAAAGAAATATCGTATAATTTGTATTATTTATTCGTATTCATTTGTGTTCATTGTTTAGAAATGCAATTTTATATAGATTATTAGAAAATAGATAATGTTTTGTATTGAGGAAAAAGAAATTTGGCTAAATTGTCTCTTTTGGTCAATGAGATTTTGGATAACTCCGATAACTTTTGTTATGATATTTAAGTAAAATTTATAAATTTTATATTTTTATGCAAGTAATTTTAAGTAAGACTTTTTCTATATGACCTTCACAATTCATTTCTTAAATAATCTATTATCTATTATTATCTAAAGGAACACTTTTTTTGTGAATAGTGTTCCCTCCCAAAAATGTCAACATCAAGATTTATTTCATTTTTTCATGAAAAATAATTGCAAAAAAAATATGATGTGTATAGACTTTTAAAGGATCTAGAATTTAATAGTTGCTCAACTTGGTGAGATGGAAGTTGTCCAGATTTTAATGGCCAACAAAACGGTGAAAACAGTTCCTATTGAATGCCTATTGGCTAAAAAAACGGTGCAGTAGCTTGGATTAAACCGGTTGGTTGATAAAAACTTAGGACACTATTCACAGAAATTAAAACTTTTACGTACGGTGTTGATATTGGCCAAGAAATGCGGTGGCACTGTTTAGACCAAACTGTTGCTACGTACGCATTGTTAAAGTTTAATGCGGATTGCAATTGGCTAATGTCTTAGAATTTTGCTACAGGTACCCCAACTATACCCCAATTTGTACCCCATATAAAACCCTCCCATCGTTTTTTACCTCACTCCCTCCCCATTTCAGATTTTTACCCCAATTCTTTTCCCTTCCTCCCAAATCCTCGGGCCCCTACTCCCGCACCCCTGCGACTTCAAAGTTCAAACCAACCCCCAAAACCGACTTCCCAGCGACAACCTTTCCGGCATGTAGTCCTTCCCTCTTCTCACCCCAAATCCATCCTTCGTTAGCAATGGTGTCGCACCCGCACGAACCGGCAACGAGAGCACCCGTGTCTTCCCTCTCTGCTACCTCTCCTATCTGCATCTTACCCTTTCAGTATGTCTCTCTATCCCTTCTTTCCTTTTTTTCTTATTTGTTTTTTATTTCATATGTAATACTCTGTTTATCTGGTTAACAACTTCTTCCCTCTTTGCTACATCTCTTATCTGCTCCTTTCCTTTCCAGATTTGTGAGGTTTATTATTAAAATTTAATTCAACTATTATATTTCACTTTTATGCTCATAAGGTGCTTGTTGAAATGATTGAATGAAATTTTATTCATATCCATGTGTTTATTGTTCATTTTTCAATTTAAAAAATCTGTTTGACTCTTTCATTTTATTAAAATGAATTTTGTGTTTATTATTGAGATATATACACAATACTCCATATTAGTCTTTAATTCTAGAGATATACTTTAAGTAAGAGACTCAAGTTGAACTTGCTGGTTGTGTGGAGAAAAGCTACTCCTTTGATGATTGCTCTCTATAATTACATTGCTCAAAGTCAGATTTTATTTGGACTTAATCTATTTAAGAGAGTTTTGAATATGTCATTTACTTTAGTGAATGTACAATCTTCTTTCACATAATACTAGTTCTATTACCAAATTTATATTAATGCTATATGTTGGTGTTACGTATGGAGCCATGTAAAAGAACTGGAGAAGTAGAGGTTGTCATTGTGTTTGTGAATACTTTGAACTTGTCTGTGCATGGTTATTTTGGTTGTGTGTGTGACTTCGTTTTGAATTCTTGAAAGTACTTTTGCAATTGTCTGTGATGTCATTATAGTGGTCTGGCCAGGCGTATGAGATGTCTGTCATTTGAAATGAGTTGTCTGGCAAGCCATTTCTAGTTGTTTATCATGTGAACATAGTTGTCTAGCAAACCATTAAAATTGTTGTGTAGTTGTCTGTTAGGTGAACATAGTTGTCTGGCAAACCATTAAAATTGTCTGGCACCTCATTTTGATATAGAATTGTTATGCATGTGATATGGAATTGCTT